TGATATTAGCTGACATTTTTTTACTATTCTGACGTGTTCTGGGCTGTATATAACAGTTAGACACTGACAAGTAAGTAGGTTGGTACTAGTAAACAGCCAGAGACATAGTCAATTTAGGAATCTGAATCAGTTAGGCCCTGAAAATAGCGTCATCGCACAGTATTCCATTAATGAACAAAGTTCACATAACAATCTTATGCCTACAAATCATCCCATAATTATTGACAAGTTGTTACTAGCTTGTACTAAAACAAGCCGATAGGCTGGTTGGCGATCAGCTTCACTAAAAAAACAAGCAGCATGTTTTCGGCTGTTGCCATGGTAGGCACCGGGCACCGTATACGAAGTTCGCCAAAAAAACACTCAGTCTTTAGAAGTCACTTTATTTTATTGCTAGGACGTATTCTGCTGTTAAATTTGTTATTTCCAACCGTTTTGCGATAGTATTTTCTAGATTGAAGGCAGCATTAACAGTTCATTCAAAGTTGCGTTGGGATTAGGTTGATATGGTGTAACAATGTCGGCGCTGGTGATCTCTTACTGGTGTACAGGCAATGTAGCCGAAATAAAAAGCATGACATTTAAACACTGCTATTACAAGACTGGTAATAGGTAATAAATTTGGAGCGAAAGTATTCCAATTAGTGGCGGTACGACCTGCCTGTCAAGTACGAACAAAATCAGCCAAGCCAAAAAAATCACAGAAGAGTTAAAAAGCAATTCTTGGTGAACTGTAACCCCAACTTTGGGGTCAAATTTCTCGGTAATGAAAAAAGATACCAAAAATTCAAATAGTAATTTTGTGCCCACACTCAAGCACTCAGCTTGAATGAGCTATGTTTGAGGTGTTTTATCCTGAATTTGTAGGAGATACATTTTGGGCCCAAGCTTTTAAACATACATGTATATTACATAAATAAAAAGGTCACTGGTTTGCCATTAGGTTGGTTTGAATGATCTGTCTGATGAGGTCAAAATAACTTATATCAAAATATTCTTTCCAGAATAATAATGAGCCATGTGCTAATGCATACTAAGGAGGTTACATAATCATAAATGGTATTCTCTTATGTCAGTTACATCCTCTGTTTGATGCCTTCATTATGACACTGATTGCGTGTCTCGTTCTGCAAAAGTGTTTCAGATATGACAGTTATGCATATTAATGAGTTCACATGACCATATATGGTCATCTGTTATTTTTATCAAATGTCTTGTTTAACGTCATCATAATTCAGAACAGTGCTTAAGATATAGCAGTTATGCATATTAATGAGGTTAGAAGACCCTGCCCCATGGGCGCGTGACCTAGCCATATGCCATTCAGGGGAAAGACTGTATCTAAAGAGTAGAATACACATACAAAATTTTATTCCAATTGGACCAATACAACACATTTAATTGAACAATTTCTGTTTGCACAATATCCAAGATGGCGGCCAAATCATATGACTGATCAAAATTATATTATTTTTCTCATATGGATCTATGGGCAATATATTATTTATGAAAACATTTAGTAGATTGGTTGAAGCAGCTTTAAGAAACAAATGCCAAAACATTTCGTCATTTTTACCTAAAATCCAAGATGGGAGCCAAACCACGTGACTGGTCAAAACTATATTATTTGTTTCAAATGGAGCAATGACCAAACATAAAATATACAACATATCTAGTCGAGAAACAAAGGGCCAAACTTTTGGTCCTTTTTACCTAAAATCAAAGATGGTGGCCAAACCATGTTACTAATCTGATTGTTTTCTTCGATATCTGAAAGAGTTCACTATAAAGCTGCAATTTAGCTGATTAGAAGATGATCACACAATTGTGGCTTGATTAAAAAAACTACTTCCTAAAAATGTTTAAACTTAAATGTGCTTTGTATATTGAAGCTAAATACTATATATGGGAGCATTTTGCTTGGCGGTTCTGAAGAAGAAGATTTTCAAGTGCTTTTTCCCGTTTTGGGGAGAAAAAAGATAGCGGAAAAGTTGAGCTTTACGTTTAGAATTTGTTTTCAGATATCTATTACACATGAGTTGTACTATATGCCATACCCTGATCTCCTAGACCCTCAGAAAGTGGTCAAATAGCCACTTACTGTTCAATCCAATATGGCTGCCGAACTAATTGACCAATCAAAATTCTGAAAGTCTTATGCACCAGTTCACAATAGGGATTACAAAGTATGCAGCATTTCAAACTATTCCGTTCAGCGGTTTTCTCAAACAACTTGACAAAAAGAAAATTACGGAAGAAACGAAGAAGAAAGAAAAAGCTGAACGATAACAATAGGGGCCTAGCCCTTCGGGCTTGGGCCCCTAATTATACGTGAAAACACTGGAAATCACACAGACAGACACACACACCTGCAAAAGTGATTATGAGGGCAATCCTAGCGAAGCGGATCGCCAATATGTTATTTAGAGTACTAACAAATTCCCACTTCCTGTCCGATTAGAATTAAAATACACCACGAATATTCACTTTTGAGATTTTTGGTATGTGTTGGTTCTTGGATATTTCAGCTTCGTCGTCCTGTACTTCATTTAGTAATTCGAACTTCGCAGATTGTGTCAAATCGGAGAGTTTCTTGATTTCGATATCAAAACCGCCTTGGCTTAATTATTTGTTGGGGGGGTGGGGGTTAGGTACATGTTTGGTAATCAAATTCACGGGAAGTTGACAATCCCTAATATTGCTAAATCGCCAGTTGTGAACTTTATCAGGATTCCTGTATAAAGTTACACATCATTCTAGCAAGGAAAAATATTGATTACTGTTGTGCAGGTTATATAATAAAATATGAAATAATTTCAATTTTGTTAGTATATCTTTATTTATTTATTAAAATATGTACACATTATATCTAATTGGGGGTGGGTATTGCCAAGCAAGTTTATAAAATTATAAACAAATACTTTCGTAAATAACACTGACCGCGAAATACACCTGTGAGAAGTATTACTGATGAA